TGGGCTTCATAAAATTTTATTTTTTTCAGAAATAAGTATATCTAATTAATAACTAGCATAAATATTTAAATTATTCTTGACACAAGTATTATTAATTTTTTATTTAAATATAAACGCAATATGTAATTTAAAAAATATGTTATAGCTATTATTTAATAATAAGTATAACACATAATAATAATACTTATATAATAATACTTTAATTATAATTTTTATCATCCTTTGAACTCTTGAAATTCATTATAGAAAAATCTGAAAATTTTCCTGCCTATTTTGTCTACAAGCTACAGTCTGCATTATCATCTAAACTAATTTCCGCTTATTCTGAACTTCTATGTTGTCTAAAAAAGTTCAAACTCTTTGTTAGGTGCTAATGATGCTGGGGATTTAAGTAGAAACAAATCAAATTTGCATTTTTTCATTAAAAAATATGTATATCTTTTTCAATGTTTTTCTATTTAAAAAAAATGATTTTTAAAAATTTAAATATGCAAATATCAATATATTCCTTTTTATTGTTAAATTTTTGCCAGTTTGTAAATACACAACACATTCAATAAATTACATACAAATTACATACAAAATGTCATGTAATTGATGTTGTCTGATATTTTTGCATTACATTAAGATATTAAGCGGAAATAAGAGGCTACAATTTATGTTCGTTGTGTACTAACGATCATAACTATCTTCGTAAGTTACTTCCTGCAAGACTTCCTTGTTATGTATCGTGATAAATGATCATACTAATATTACTATAATGCCTGGACAAGCATTAATGTAAATATTAGAAATTAATGGATAATAAGACAAAAATGTAAGTGAAAGCAAAATCTTACACTTTGCTAATATAAAATTTAAAAAAATTTATAATTTATTTTATTCAAAAGTAAACTGTTCAAAAATAAGTACAATAGATACAATTGGCTAAATATATCATTATATAAAAAATATCATTATATAAAAAAAAACACTTCGAAAATCCTATAAAACTTTATTCAAAAATTATTTATAAAAAATGAATATGTTATTAATGCAATTATTCAACAATAATAATCCAACACCATGCAATGAACGGATATTGTATTTGTTCAAAATCCTGTCGATCCAGTCTATTGTTCCTTTTACAGGGAGCGGCCTTTAGTAGAAAGGCTTCTTTTGTTTAACTCATCCTGTGGTTGTTGTGTGTATGAGTTTCTTGTCCTAAGCCTATATTTGTTGACTGTTCTGTTTATATTCTCCTTATTATATGCGTTCCGTTGCGAGATTTGTTTCAAATAGTTGAATTCTGTCTGCAGATTTAATATCTCTCTATCAGAGGATACATAATGCTCTATGCACAAGAGTGAATTGCCGTCTATTTTTGTGCTGGATGATGATTCCGCATGTAAGTATCTATCAGTGTGTGTTGGCTTCCTGCATACTTGATGGTTCAGTGCTGTCAGTTTCTTTTGTGATAAGAATATCCATTTTTAATTGAGTATATATATATATATATAATTCTAACATAAAGAAAAAATAATGTCATATATTAAAAACATACAAAAACTTTATTAGAACAACATCATAATACAATGCTCTATTTACAAAATATATTATATGTACAAACATTATATATGTAATAT